ATGTGGGCAAGACTTCTCTGCCTTTGATTTCCAGTGTCAGCAACAGCAAGTGACAGGCATGTTGATGACATGAGTAAGTGGGGGAGAGATAACACAGTAGATGTCCTTTTCAGTTCCTCCATTGCTAATGGAAACATCTCAGTCTAGAGTTTAGAAAAATGTAATGTGTGACAGAACTAGATGAATTGTGCCAGAGGATTAGGCTATTTTTCCTTTGTTTTCTTGATGTGGTTTTACATTGCTTTGGATTTTGGTGGGAGACTAGAGATTGTTCAGATGCAGTAGAGTAGGGGTCTCAAAGATACTGCTTACAGAGTCGCATCATCTGGCCCCCGGTGCTGGCCTCACTGGGACCCTCCATCTCAGCATGCTGGATCCAGTGCCCACAACACTGGCTTATCTGGTCCAGGACTGCACCACATACATCTGAGTGGTCCGGGACACAAACTGCATGGGGCACCCACTCCATCTGGGTTGGGATGGGTATGTGTGCAACAAAGGTCACAGAGTAGGTACTGTGTATGTCACAGCCCTGGACTAGCTAGAGCCAACACTAGATGCCTCATGGGGTGTAGGGTACTATGCATGGATCTCCTGCATGCCAGATTCAGCACCTGCTCTGGCCAGTCCACATCTGCATTGCGTGGGGTGCATGGAGCCTGCTCCAATAGGTCCAGGACCTGCACTGTGCAAGGCACCCACTCCAGTCTAGCTGGAGTAGGATTAGGGTGCGGGGTGGGGAGTGTGAGGCAGGGAGGGCATGGGCTTGATAAGGCCTGTGGACCAGTCCTGGTCCACTCATCTGGCCTTCAGGGACAGATGAGTTTAATACCCCTTCAGTAAAGACAAAGTGTTAAAGCTGGGACATTTTTAAAGTCACTTACTGCTGTGAGCCTTTTGCAAGTTTGTTTAACTTGTTGTCACAGGTTTCATTGCAAGCTTATGGAACATACTCTTGAAAAGATTAGGCCTATCTGAAGAACAGCCACTGGTCCATAGAAGATTTTCAGTCCCTAAAATTACGAATATGAAGCTTGGATGGTTTTGGCTTCATGTTTGAACCAGCCATTCCAGGTGCTCTGAATGCAATGTGAGGAAGCCATAAAAATCTTAATCTGAATGCATCCTTTTTATTTGTTTGGGGTGTTTTTTTTCTTCCTCTTGGCAGGAGCAGGCTAAGACCTTATTTGTAAGCACTACATTGTAAGTCATGCAATATTAACTTTTATTACCAATCTACATATATAGCGTCACTTCCAGTGTTTCCTCTGAGCCCTTGTCATCACCCTGACGTTGTTTTAAGACCTGTTAGTCTGAAAAAAATCAGAGAAGTAGTTTCTGGACAAGAAGGTAACTTGCATTTTTCTGTGCATTATATCTTCAAAGCAAGACTGCTGTTAATCTGATAGGATTTTTGCCAGGAATTGCTAGAAAATACTAATATGTGGGTCCAGTATATGTGAGGCAGCCAGTGGAAAATTGGCAGTTCTTCATGCAGTAGGATACTGGCTTAATTTCATTGCATGCTAGAATTAAAAGGTAGGTTTGGGGATTGATTTTCTTCTTCTTTCCCCCCATTCCATGGTCCAGACACCAAATAACAAAAATGTCATGTGGGGTGACAGTGGTTTTTGTTTTATTCTGTAACTTTCAGATATCAATACAGTAATCTTAATCATCAAACAGAAGGGACAGCTATGATCTGATATTGAGGGGAGGATTCATTGTTTAACTAGAATCTTTTCATTCTACAATAATCTTAGTAGGTTTTGTTAATATTATGTTTTTTGAAAAAAAACTTCTCTCTTCAGGAAATAGTGTGTGGTGGGGGGAATCTTTAGTGAAAATATAGGTTAGGAACAGCAGAGCCAAACAAAGGGAAGAAGTTAAGAATTTTCTGGAGTAAATAATTGCAGTGTACCTGAAGTGGTTATGGAGTGGGGACCCATTTGACAAATGCTTGCTTCCAGGTATAATGGGTGAATTCAGTGAGACTACAAGCAAACAGTGTTCCTTATAGTATATGTTTGCAGAATCAGGCAACAGGTCTTTTACCTTTATATATAAGCTATGTGGCAAATACCACATGCTTATAATGAGAGGAATCTAACCACTCTACTGTGGAGCAGACTTATTTTCCATATGCTACATTATTTTATGATGATTCTCCATATAATACAGATTTAATAATTAAAAACGAAGTAGGAAGTGGAAGCTTCCTGGCTAAATGGTATCAGTGAAACAAGATAGTAGTTTCCCTCTATTTTACTCTTGTCCAGCCTCCCTGACGCAGATGACAGAAATCTGGAAGCTATTGAGACCTTAATGAAAGCAGTAGCAGACCTGATAGTTAAGTGGAATCTTTCTGGCTGAGAGCTAATCTGGTTTGCATGGACTGAAGTGCTTTGTGGTATGGGGTTAGGGTCTTCCAAGTTGTGTTTTCTTTTGATTGTTCTTGGTTTTAGTGGCTGCCAGATATTGCCTGCAAAGAAATAATGCAACTGCCTATTATGTGCACTGACTTAATGATCTGGCAGAGAGGAAAGGTGGTGATTGCTGCCACTGCAAGGGACAATTTGGCAGATTGTGGGGACAGACAGGATGTGTTTCCTGGTTCCCTGGGGGCAATGATGTGAGAGAGCTGCAGGGAACACTAACAGTGTTATTTTTTATTGGTCACTTAATAGCATAACAAGTACCCACCCCCACTCATTCAAGTCCAAGCGAACAGAGAGATCCTCCTGAGGGAGGCAGAGAATTGTCCAGTAGATAATCAGTTTTCTGGGAGGCATTAAGACAGCCATACATGCCCCCAGCTTTGTGGTATAAACCTAAAACCACAGTGTTAGGCCATAAAGATGACTACCATTTCCTCCCAATTTTGATGAAATGCAACAGGAAAGGAAAGATTGAGGTTAAATATGACGGCTTTGGCTTCTGGTACAAACGACTGAGAGCTATCTGTGTTGCTTTAGTCTGTGTATGGAACAGCCTGTTTTGTTGCTGTTTGGAACCAGCACTTCTTAAGTATCACCTTGTTTTTGGGTCTCAGTGGAGTCTTTATTTACCTGTGATTGAATGGAGAGAACAGAGCTCATGGTTTCTGAAGCATTGTACACTTTCGTTTTGTTTGTTATCCTTTTCTTGTGTGTTCATTCGGGGAGGTGATTTTTCAGATACCTGACTCCTATTTTAAATTAGTCCAGCTCTTTTTTTCTGCCTTTGAATATGTCCCAGTAGTGCATTTATAACAGTACAGTGTGCACAGAGCTCAGTAAAAGAATGAGAGAGGCCTATCGGTATTAACACCCCAACAGCTTTGATTTTTGCCAAAAGTGATCACTATGTGGGAGTAGGCAGACTTACCAAAATCATTTTATGGATACTCCAAATTGAATATAAATGTTGATTTCTAGATATAAAAAGCTGGCAAATTTGAACTAGGTGATCATGTATACCTATGCTGTGGTAGCTACTAGCATGCATTGAGGTAGAGGAAAGCAGTCCCATCAACTTTCAATTTCTCATGAAATGTCACTGTCATTTGGAATTTTGCTCTGACAGTGGCAAGGTAGTGGGGAGGGAGTAGAGTGAGGCCAATAGTAGACACGCAGAGGGAGTAGGGAAATGAAGAGTTGAGATCTGAGAGGTTGGAACATATCTATCAAGTTTTGACTATGAGGAAGACAATTTTGACCTAGTTTCTGGCCTGAATGGGTAGGCATTGGAGCTTTTGGCGAATAAAGCACGGTAGTCTAGAAATATTGGGTGCTGGCAGTTTTAGTAGCAAGACAACAGGAGATAAGGAAATTCTGAGGCTTGCAGCTCTATGATAGCAAAACAGTATTTCACAGCCTGAGACCACCACCAACAATAGGTAAGATGTGTGGTGGGGGACAAGTGGCCTGAAAAAGGTATTTATTTTAATGCATAGACTATCAGAAGATCAGAATCTGGATATCGCCTATTTTACTGACACACTCTGTGTGCGTGTGTGCGCACGCGCACACACAATTCTGATAAGGTATTCTGGTGCCTCACTTCCACTAATTTCAGTGAGAATTAGATGTTTAAATACCTTTGTGTATTTGAGCTTTAGTACATCTATGCTGTAGTTAGTTACCACACTGTAAAAGTGGCTAATGTGACCATATCCCACAAGGGTATCATGCAAATAAATTGTTCAGTGTGTGTGAAGTGCTTAGATAATGCAATGATATCCTTCTCTAAGTAGGCTGCCCACTATAAAGATATTTTTATGCAATTGTTCAAGTCAATCTGCATTTCAATGCTATCCAGAAAAATAAGTGTATTAAGAGATATTTATTCTAGTTAAACTGGTTCAAGTCTCCCTTTCATTCACAAAAGGCAGTAGAAGCATGTTAGTTACATAAAAACTTGGAAATTACGTGAAACAGTGAGATCCCTAGCATCCACTGTTATAAGGAAAAGTATAAGCAGTTACTTGTGTGAAATATAAGTCTGTTAGTTTAACCAGATAGTGTTGGCAACATAAGTGACTTGGAAACACATCTCACAAAAGCTGTACAGTATGTCTCATTAAAATGTGAGCCTCAGTAGGCATGAAAATCAGTTTATTGCAAAATCACTTAAATCTTGAACAATCCTCCACCATTCCTAACCATTTACAATTCATTTTATTTGTTCAGGTCATTGAAAGAAGAATAAAGGCTGCATCTACACAAGACATTTACCATGCAGTTGACTAATTCACTGTGCAGTAAACATCTCAGTGTCTACACGTGCACCCTTATTAGGGCATCCGAAACTAATAAGCTAATAAAATACAAGTCCTACTCTGCTGCAGAGGGTTTTTTTGTGCATAGTAGTGCATATATAGATGCTGAGCCAGCTGGTTGGGGCATGAGGGTGCTTCAGTGCTGGGGCTGCCTGCCAGCTAGCTCTGCACTGAAGTGCCCAAGCCAGCCCCTCTGCAGCACATTGAACCCAGTTGGAGCAGCCCAGGCTGGCAGGCTGACCCCTTGTGCTCCCTGCCAGCGGAGGCTGTTGCAACCTGGCTCAGTGTACTGCAGTCTGGGCACATGGGTAAACCACACACCTGGGAGTTTCCATGGAAGAATAAACTGTAGAGCAATAAGCTCCACAGTTTATTGCTGCCCCCCTAATGGCACGTGTAGACACCCCCAGATTTTAGATTTCCCCTCTAATATTGCATATTCAAGGTTTTTAAAATGTAAAACCCAGGCCAAAACCAGTCCTAGCACAGGTCTACTGACATCACAGGATTTGTAGTTGGCTGTCTAAATGCTGAATTCCTAAGAGCTCTTTGAATGTCTCTGATGTTGATGCAGTTCTGTCTGGTTAAATTCAGAGTTCTGTATTTGCTACATTGGCAACTGGTCACATGATCTTAAATTTATAATGGGAAAATCCCAGTTGGATTACTTGTGGGGGGAAAAAAAAAAAAAGTCAGTTGTAATCTGCACCTCACAGGATTGCACCTCAGCTTCCCAAATCTGCTTTATGTGCCTTCTCTTGTTGGTTTTCAATATGCCCTGCCTATTTCATTTTTATCTTGCTCAAGACATCAGGTGTTCTGGTGAGGTTCACAAATTCTTATGTTTTCTCCTACATATTCTGTTTTCTTGTAGTGCACCAAATATTTTTCTTAGTGCTTTGTTTTCAAACACTTGAGCCTTTTTCTGTTTGCCTTTGTCAGTGTCCATGATTCACATCCATATAAAAGGACAGGTTGAACAATTGTACCATAAAGCTGGATTTTAACTTTGAGATCTTCCTTGATGCTTTTATTTTATGCAGGTTCAACAGGTATATCTCAGCACTGTAAATTCTTGCCTTGATTTTCATCAGTTATTTGCTTGTCCTCAGTCATTACTGTTCCAAAATATTTAAATCTCTCTAACTTTTCCACATTGTTATTCCGTATTCTTATCTTTCTGTGATCTTGAGGTCTATTTCTGGATGTGATCATGTATGTAGTATTGCTGACTTTGACAGCAACCCCAACTTCTTGATCTCTATATTCTTTTGTACTGTTTCCATTACCTCTCTTACTAGATAGATATTATCTGTCTATGTAAATACCTGGCTCAGTCTGTTCAGCTGCAGACCTTTTTCTCCTTCTTCAGCAGCTCTTATAACCTTCTTAAGCTTCATGTTGGAAAGCATCAATGATAGTGCATCCCATTGTTTGAGCTCACTACTGATTTCTGTCTGGTCTGATAGTATTCCCTTGATTCTCAGGTGACATCTTGATCCTTCAATGCACATCTTAATAAGGTGCACCATTTTTGGGGGGGCGTTCCAAACCCAACATGACTGACCATAGTGACTCTCTTCTAATATACTCAGAAGCTTTGACAAAGTTTATGTAAACCTGATGTACATCTTTCACAGCTTCCCATTTTTTTCCAGCAGCAGTCTTATTGACAATATCTGATCACTGGTTCATCTCTCTTTGTTGAATTCATGCTGGTAATCTTGCACAACTTCTTGTGCAAATGGGAGCAATTGGTTTAGCAGCAGTTGAGAAAACTTTTTATGTTGTGCACAGTAAGGAGATACCTCAGTAGTTATTACCCTCTCTTTGATCACCCTTTTTGTAAATTAGGCATATTATTGCCTGTTTCCATTGTTCAGGTGTTCTTTCTTCTCTTCAGGTCTTTTTAATCATCTTGTGAAGGTGGTACTTTAATGCTTCAAATCTGATTTTTAGGCTGGAATATTGTCAATCCCTGGTGGTTTATTGTTTCTATTTTTTTTTTAACTTGAATCTGTATGTCCTCTAATGAAGGCTCTACTACTTTGACTTCATCAGTTTGGTATTCAGCAACACTTCCTTCATTTTCATACTCTGTTTAGAAGTTCGTTGAAATAGTCTTTCCAAACCTTCAGGATTTCTTGTCATGCTATCATCAGGTTCCCATTTTTGTCATAGATCACTGTCAACCTTGGCTGGTAGCCTCAAGTTCATTCATCAGCTCCTTTAAATAAGTCTTGATTAATATTTTCTCTTCCATTGTAGCAACTTTTTGTTTTAAATATTTTTGTTTCTTTTTCTTTATTCATTTCTCAATTTCTCTGCAGTAATCTTGATATCAATTTTTCTTTTTGTTTTTCAGTCTTACTCCCATCTTATTTACTGCTGCTTCCTTCACTGTTCTACTGAATGTTTCCTGTCTCTCTTTGGTATCTGTATCTTCCATATCTCCTAGTGCTCAAAATTTAGTGTAGAGTTCTATCTGGTATTCTTCTTTCACTTGCAAATTTTAGGAGCAACTGTGTTGATCCTTTCTACTTGAGGCCATTGCTTAAACATGTACCTTTAGATAGCCTTAAGTTCACTGGTACAGTGACTTCGGTTGACATCCTGGTAGCAGATGGCAAAAATCCTGCTTATTTCAGTGGGTCTAGGTTTATAACAAAGTTATACAGAGCCTGATTCAAAATGCATTGAAGTCCATGAGACACTACACTTTTGAGTGCTACAACATCAGTCAAAGACAACAAAATTGTTAAATGCATGTTAGATTGTGCTGCTTGATAGATTGTGCCAATACATGATAGTGAGGAGGTAGAACAAAGGAGAAGTTCTGGAAAATGTAAATATTAGGATATATTTTAGTTTCCTTGCATCTTCTAGTGTCATGTTAGAAGTAATTAATTTAAGTATTTGCCTGGTTCAATTTGTTGCATAATGTAAACCCGGTGACAGGCTATTTTGACATTGAATTGTACTTTATCCGTCTCGGAGAAGATGTGTAAAGAGCCCATGAGCCACATCTGTTTGGATCTCAGAGAGGGTTCCTAACAAGCTATAGCTGATTACCTTTACATCACTAGCTTGTGTCTTGATAATGCTGGAAGTGACTGAAAGCTGTTACTTGTAAGTGAGATCAGTGGTCTTTGTAAGCTGAATTGGCTCTAGTTTTCAGGTCATATCTTCAGCTGTTCTAAATCAGTGTAGTTTCATTGTGGAGTTATGCTGATTTCTGTCAGCTAAGAGCAAATCCATTTTTCAGTCATAGCAAGCCCCAAGGAGTCAGTGAGCTTAGACACTGATATACTTTACCTTTCACTGAGGTGATCTCTCTAGGACAGTGGTTTTCAGCCTGTGGTCTGAAGACTCTTGGAGGTCTGCAAACTGTCTAAGTGGTCTGTGGAAGATTACTATGATCAATCAGATGCCGTAGCAACACATAGGGGGTGCATGTGCACCCCCCCCC